TGATACTTATAATTTAATTTATAAATTCAAACTATAACACTGCAAGCGATTGCCGCTGCAGTCTTTTCTCTAACTGTTCATAAATCGTTCATAACTGTTCATAAACTCTTGATAAATTTTCTCTAACTGTTCATGAATTCATAAATTTTTCTTATTGGTGATGTGATTCAGCCAATGGCGTTTCAATTGCATCAAATGGTTCAAAATTATTTTTACTTTTTTCTATATTGTGATTATTTTTCTTTCTGTTTTCCAAATTCATGATGAAAATTACTTCACGAATCAAGTTGAAAAGATGAAAGCCTTAATCAATAATATGACTATAGTCATGTTTATTTCAAAATTATACCTACCCCATAGAAATTTTCTTCATTTTTCTTGCTTTTATTTTCGCAAATCAAGCTGAATATACAACATGATCTATCAAATCGATATGAAATTCAATACGACAATTCACTTTAACCCGTTTTGTCCCGAATTTATATATTGAAATGATACAAAAAGTGGTTTTATGGAAAAAGTGGTATAATATATTTTCGAAATTAATTGTTTTTTCTACTGTTAGGGCATTCAAAAAGTCTTTGATAGACATGGGTGAAAGCCCTTATATAGCAAGACGGAAAAGAGAAAAACCTGGTACGTAAAACATTTCATTCCAGCATTTTTTTCGAAAAAAATGAAATATCTGTAACTATCAAGATTTCTTTTATAATTCTGGCATATATATAAAACTGCTTCTTTTCCAAGATAAAGTAGATATTGTTGAAAAATTTATAAAAAAGAATAAGTAAGCTCCTCCCCAAAACTAGCTATAACTGGAAAGGTTTTACTACCAGCCTTTCCTCGTTTCCGTCTCCCTTTCACACCTGTTGATAGATCAAAAAGTGCTTGTTCCTTATTCTAGATCTAATCAGAGATAACTAAATCATTGTGGTATCGGAGAATCTCTTAATTCACCCAGATAAATTAAAATGCTGAAAAAAGTTTCCCGCCACAATGAATGTTTTTGAAAAATGGAACTGTCCTAAATATATGACGCTGGGCGTTAACCGGTTAACCTTTTAGAGACGGACGGGTCATAAATGTATTCGTAACCAATAAGAATAAGGATGTTAAAAAATAAAAAGTGGTATCTTAAGTTCGGGAATAGTTAATTTGGCAGACTCATTTTTTCTTTCACTTAAAATCCAACACATCCTTTTTAAAGTGTAACTACATAATTTTTTAATTTGAACTAAGTAATGGTGAATTAAATAAAGTAAACTGTTATTACCCCGCCCACAAGTAAACTGCTATAAAAATAGTTTGGCTACCAGTTTTATTTTTTTACCCAGATTGTCGCCAACCTGAGAATACATCATGATTTTATATACAGTTTAAAGTTTTGCTAAAATTCTATTTACTTATAAATTTTCAGCTTCAGTTAGCTTCCACTAGAAAAATTATTTTGAATTAACTTCAAATGTTAGCAGGTATGGAAATTGTTACATTTTTAACATTTTTCTTTCAAAAAGAAGACAATCGCTTTCCCAATACATTATTTATGTAAATGTGCAAGGATGCCAGACTCCTCCGGACAGTGGATAAGTATTTTAGAGTGGTAGTCTCGGTTTAGTAAATTCAATTTATATGGTTTTTACTCCCCACTACTTCTAATTAATTCTAAGTGATGAGCCACTTTATTCTAGTTATACTGCTTGGGGCCTTTTAAGAAGTTGGAAATATCAACCAAAAATCTACAAAGTTTAGTTTGTAGTTCTATAACGCTTTTTAAAATATTTTGACAAAGCTGAAGCAGCTGGCTGTGCAAGAGTGTTGCCTCTTTCAAGAAAAATTTAAAAAGTGGTGACTAATAATTCACGAAACTTTGGGTAATGCAAAAGTTTTAAGTTCACTTTAATTTTAAGAATGCTTTTAGGAAGTTTTACAACAAATATTTAATTTACAAATATTTTTTGGTTGGTAGTAATTAGTTAAAACGGCTTATTTCCTTGTAATTTTTTCTACCCACTTCAACATTTTTCCACATTGCGCCTGTACACAGTGTATATGTAGGTATACATAAACATGTACAGTGATGCTAACTGTTCAGCTTTCTGAAAAAGATTTAACAAAGTGATAGAAAATTTAAAGCTCAAAACATTAGCACAAGTTAAACTTGCCAACACTTTAACGGTTTCACTACCAGATAATTGGTACAAAATGATGTTATGTTCTGAATCATTTATTTGTAATGGTGGAAAAAATAACTTCAAAACAAATTTATTAAACTAACAGTTATTGATCAGCAGGGACAAATTTTTGTTGCGTTTATACAAGTAGTACTTGATTTTATCCGGTGTTGGGATTTTAAATCTGTAATTAGTTTCGGTTGGAAAGGTTTACATATATACTTATCCACTCTATTGAAAGCGACACTAAAGAAACAAACGAAATTAACGTAACGCATCATAAAATGAAATGTATTATCGCCTTCTTACGACCACTTCCTACGCAGCAGAGAAGTGGGACCACTTAGTATTAACGCGAGTGAAGTTTAAAAAATCCTGATTAGGAATGTGTTATTAAATTGCACGTAAAGTGTGGCTCCTGGAGAGAGCCCGAGTAAAGATTTGAAATCGCGAGAATGTCCCTTCAAAACTAAAAGAAAGACAAAGCGGTTTGCATCTCTACGTTTATAAATATCAGGTTCGTAATGTCCTGTGCAAATTTTTAAAATAATGTTAAAATTCTAATAAAAAAAAAGTCATAGGTTTCTTTTTAGTGGCTTTCACTTTTATGTTAAAAACTCTCCTTTATCATTTTAAAACTAGAGATATTTATTTAAATATATTAAGCGCAGTGAGGAATACAAATTTATCAAAATAAAATTTTATTTTCTTAATTAACCATTTTTTTAAATTTTAAAATGACCGTACAAACTCTGAAATATATTGGAATTGAATAAAAATCTGTAATTTTTTTAAAAACTCAAGTGGTAGTATCACGAAAAAATAATTGAATTGTTTAAACCTAGTTATAAATACTAGGTATTAAGTTTTTGATATAAAGCACTTATCACGCACTTACAGCGCAAGAAATTGGAAAAAATATGTTAGATGATTATTGCGTCAAATGGCAGTTATAGTATTTGCCATAACTTGTAAATGAAATTACAAATATATTTTTGTAAAAAAAAAAAAAAAAAAGTTATCTGTATGTAATTATTATTCGATTGTATTGCAATGTGTGTTATTTAAATGTATGTTTAAATTATTTATTTATTTGTGTTCTTTAGTTCTATTGATTTAAATAAATGTTGTTTTATTAACTCTGTCTGTTTCTGATCATTAAAAAATAGGCTATTATTTTCATTTTAAGATCTGTTATTTGTGAGATTATTAAAAACTATGCAGTATTGCTAAGATCTGAATTTTTTTTTNTCTTAATTACCATTTTTTAAAATTGACTTTACAAACTCTGAAATATACTTGATTTGAATAAAAATCTGTAATTTTTTTTAAAACTCAAGTGGTAGTATCACGAAAAAATTATTGAATTGTTTAAATCTAGTTATAAATACTAGGTATTAAGTTTTTGATGAAAAGCACTTTCAGCGCAAGAAATTAGAAAAAATGTGTTAGATGATTATTGCGTCAAATGGTAATTATAGTATTTGCCATAACTTGCAAATGTAATTACAAATATATTTTTGTAAAAAAAAAAAATTATCTGTATGTAATTATTATTCGATTGTATTGCAATGTGTGTTATTTAAATGTATGTTTAAATTATTTATTTATTTGTGTTCTTTAGTTCTATTGATTTAAATAAATGTTGTTTTATTAACTCTGTCTGTTTCTGATCATTAAAAAATAGGCTATTATTTTCATTTTAAGATCTGTTATTTGTGAGATTATTAAAAACTATGCAGTATTGCTAAGATCTGAATTTTTTCATTTTTTTTTTACAATAGTAACAAAAGTAAAAAAAAATATAGAGATGTTTAAAGCTAATCGTAACTACAGAAGGGTACGTTACCAGGCCTGACAACTGCTACGCTTTTGGTAAAAAAAATTTTTAGAGTGATGGACATTTAAAAAACAAAGCTTTCAGAATTTTTGGTGATTTTGATAACATTTTAAATGCCTCACCATGAAACAGTGGGGAAAAAATGGGGTTTCATATAAATTTTTAAATCATTTATACGTAGTAGCGTGGAAAATTCGTTACAATGAATAAGAAATTATACATTAATACAACAATTTAGCTGCCACTGGAATAAATATTTACAAAAGCGTTAATATTAACAAAAACTTTTTACTTTTTCCTGGTTCGTAAGAATTTTAAAAAAAATATTTCGTAAAAACTTTTGGAAGTATTTTTGCAATGTTTAAATGGAAATTGAAAATAAATATTTTTCAATAGCTTTGAGAAAACTTATTAGCAACTTTTTGATTTTTTCTAGGTCGCCGGAACACGAGTGGAAAATTGTCCTCTTGCAATACAATCAATTACTTAAGAGTGCGCATTATTAGTTAAACATTAAGAGAATAGAAAACAGTATAACTGGGTTGAACACCAGCGATCGATTCTGCCTAGAAATGGGTACCGTAAATATAGAAAATACGATAATTATCGACACCGATAAATAACGAATGTTTAATCGTGAGTATATTATCGCATTCTACTCGGTAATGGTTAATATCGAAAAAAATAGTATTTTCGTCACTCATCAAGTACGATATTATCATAAATGTAACGGAAATATTTGCCGATTTAAAAATAATCTATAAATTAGTTAAATAAGAAAAAGATATCTTTAAATCATGAAATATAAATATCTGATGATTGAGCAGTGCACAAAAAAAGGAAATGAACTGCCTTGAATAACTTTTGATCTTTCAATAAACGATAAGTATTTGTGCTTCCATCTGTTGATCATAAAGAGAAACATCAACGATCGCTTCAGTTTTAGGTATACAATGCGAGCCAGAAGCCTTACTTATCTCAAATGTAAAGATCCCAAAAAGAAATGATCGGCCTGTCGTAAACGACCAATTATTAGTTTATTTACTTGAGAATCTTTACAAGCTATCAATTTTACTACAACTACAGCTACAACTCTTATAAAGGATGTTGATTTCCTTGTTTTGAAATTATAGTTATGTTGTGATCGTACATATTTTAATTTTAGATATACTTGTTAATTGTACTTCGCTTTATCAATAAAAATTTTAATAATGGCTTTTAATCTTCTTTCACGATCGTCAACTATTCATCGTTTTATTGTGAAAGATTTAACAGTTTGTTGGTTGAGAAAGGTATCAACTATTGTGACGGAACCTTAATATGTTTTTTTTCATTTTCTTTGCATGTTTTTTTTTCTCCATTAAAAACATGTAATATAAGATTTAAAAAAAAAGAATTATACCTTTTTTCCTTCACTATCCTTAGTTTTGATTATATATTTCTAGCTATTGATAGGGAATAAAAAAATATTCAACAATAGTTAACAAAATTAAGGTTTTCCAGATGTATATAAAAATTTTAAAATAAATAATATTTAATTTATTTTTTGTAAAATTATAGATTTTTAATGAACTATGATCTTTAAAAAAATATTATTCATTTAAACATGTTTTTTTTTTTAAATGAATCATTAAAGCGAAAATGTTTTTATACAATGTTATTTAGGTTAAAATTGTGATTTCCTTGGTATAGTAAAGGTGTTATTGTTAGGAATTCTGAAAGAGGATTAAATTATTACACATCAAAGTAGGCTAATTAGGAAATAAAAGAGATTGAAAGTTGCTATGAGTCACGGGAAAATGTTAAATTATAATTTATTTCATTAGTTGCATGCAAAATAATTTTGCTGCTAATAAACATATTTCAATTATACCCCTTTAGTTTTATGTTTATTTAGATACAAGTGTTTTTAAAACTTATTAAAAACTATTAAATTAAGTATTTCAAGGTTGCCTTCCCACGGGAAGTATAGGAAAGACCTGGAAAATGCAGGGAATTTAAAAATGACCTAAAATAACAGGGAATCGTGATTTTTTCTTTAGAAACTGGGAAAATACAGGAAATTTTGTCTTCTATTTTCAGTAACATGGTAACCACTCGAAGAGCAATCTATGGGATATTTAAGGATGATATTTCAGCTATATTAAACTATTTTATTTACTATAGCATTATTGGGGATATTTCTGTATCGTGATCTGTCTCGCCAACTAAAATTGCCATGATGCCAAATAGATTTTATACTTGTAAATTGAAAAAAAAAAAAACATGTAGATGTTTGCTTGGGGTGGCTACGAGTTATACCTTTCAAGTCAGTCCCTTTCTGTGATGTTTTTTTTTAACGTCATTATTGTGCCACTGATCACGATTTGGAAATCTCCCCCACATTATTTGTTTTATTAAATGTGTTCAACTGTTCCTTTTTTCTCTTAGTTTTTTCCAGCAATTATAACTAGTATAGTTAGCCCAATACAGCTCATACAAGAGCATAGTGATTCTGTTTTTCCTCTTATTATCTTGTGTATAATATGTACAGGGTACAATATGTAAGTATTGTGTACAATATATGTAAAGTAGGACAATATTTAAAAGAGACTTGTTTGTCCACAGAAGCTTACATGATTATTCTTTAATGTATTCTGATTTAAACTAATTTACTCTTTATTTATTTACAAGTGTCAAATCTTCTCCCTGTCTTAAATTTTAGGATATTTTGCTTGAACAAAAAATATTCATGATTTCATTTATTCTGTGATTATTTTGTAATAATTAAATAATAATTTTTAAAACATTTTAGTTGATTTAAATAATAAAAATCAGATTTTTTTTTATCATGATTTTTGCTAACTCTGGTTGTTAATTAATTTTTACAAAACATGAAAAGTTAAGCACAGTGCAGGTCTCAAACAATTTCAAAATGTGTACCCGCCAGGCATCTTGATCTAAACAACGTATTACACTGTATCTACATCAACAAATTTGTTTTCATCAGTTGTTAAAAAACTTTGATTTTTGTTTGAAGTGAACAACAACTTCGATTCAAGTTATTTTCAAATGTAGTGATTATTAACTATTTTCAAAGTGTAATCATTGCTTAACTACTATTAGAAAATGAATTTTACTAGAGGATTCATTTTACACATATGTTCAAAAACAAAGGAAGTTGTAGATTTGTATAAAAAATTTGTTTAGAATAATAAATTTACTTTAGGACAAGGAAAATTTAAAAAAAAAAATCTATTCATGTTTACATATGTGAATTTATAATTCTAAACCAGTTTTTTTAACTCCTCTTTTTATGCCTTTTTTACTGCAAATATTTTGTAATAAATTACAATGAGAATTACAAAGCAAAATATGTCTCTCTTCACTGAAATAATGTGTACTAGTATTTTAATTTTGATCTTCAATTCAATGTATATTTGTATTTGAGGCAATGATACCCATGATTAGAAGCTAATTGATAAATTTGCTTTGGTTTATGATGGCTTGACTAAATAAAATCTATAATGCTTGGTCACAGAGACATTCTCATTGCATCTGATAATGAGTTCATATAAGATTTGCACCTTTCAGATTCAAAAAATTAGTTGCATTTAAACCTTGTTACTTTAATAAACAAATGATAAAAGTAGTTGCTAGGAATCACTACAAACTATTTTTATTAATTTATTTCGTTCTTACCCTACTCACTTCACTTTTTTTTTTTTTTT